GGTTATCTTCAACTTGTTTAGTTTACAAATGATAATCATTAGGTCAAATCACAGTTTGGAACGTGACCCAGTAGACTAATGTTACTGCTATTAACATAACATAAAATACCTGACAAAGTTATCATTGCTTAAGGTCAAAATCATTAATTAATGATAGTCCTAAAAAAACATAACCATTACATAAATTTAAAATCATTAAAATAAAATACAAACATTTTTGGTCAGTCATAGGATTGCCTTGACAATTGTAAAGAAATGATTTAATGCACACGTTAATAATAATAATAAGTCAATTAACAATCCCTAGCTTACATAATTGACAGGAATTAACGATCTCAACTAAAACTCAGGTCAACAAAAGTACGAAATTAAATGTTTTGTTCAAAATCATTATTGGAATGGGTAAAATATAAGTTACAATTCTTTATTCCATTGAGTAAAATTTTATTTTACCTGGTATATTTTGATGATTGAAGCTTATTGTACGATTTGAAATCATGTTCATTATGAACTTACTTCAACAAGATAACCTTTAAAGATAAGGTAGCATGAGAAGAATATATTTCTCACATTTAATAAATCTAGGTGAAGTGTCTAACGATCAAATCTAGAACATTTAGTTCTTACAGTGGACATGGTATTTTTTAATTCATTAAGTCACCATTCACAGGTCAACATATATATTTCTATTTGAAATTCAAAGCATATTGGAGAACGGTTGTTTCAAAAAATCCACTCATGATGATCATATTTCAAAAAAGATTTATTAAATTTCAGTTCTTAATATCGATAACTGGATAGCTCCAACAGCTACAAATGAACACCATATCCGTCTTTCTGATTGAGTAAATAATACTATAACATATAAGACGAGATGCATAATGTGCAAATTTCAATGCACATATTAACAATGAGATACAAGCACACTGATCTGACGAGTGACAATTAGGAGGGAACTGACTTCGTGAACTCCGCTGCTAGTCACCGTCAAAATGTACTAAAAAGTGGTACATCAAAATTTCACTGGACTATAAAGTCGACACTACAGAATTTTTACTCACCAGTAATACTTTTTCCATGATAGCTATAGGGTTTACATAGTGAGGGTGTGTTGTTTTGTGATGCCTAAATCGTCCGAGAATCGTTCAATGTTCTTTAACATACTATTGTAATGAAAACTACTTGCCATATATGTTGATTACTGCAACTAATTGTAAGTGATAAATCCTAGTTTTTTTTCAAAATCTTGGAGCTAACTATGAGAAAAACTTCTATACGTTATCTTGTTTTCTTTTCAATCAAAGTTCATTTTTTATTTAGTTCAGGAATATTACAAATGTTGATAGAAATAAAGACAGGCCAGTAAATCAAATGAATCTATGTTACTGAAAACACAAATAAATCTAAGTCGGGAAACCTTTGAAAACGTGGATGCACTAGACGACCGTTTCATCCTGATATGGGACTCTTCAGAAGTGCCCATACACGTCCCTGAAACCAGGGTTATCTAACTTATATCGGTCCGTGATTTCCATAAAACGTAACTATCACCACAACCTCATAATGACAAAGCTATTTAACTGTACAAAATCATTTTCTTCACTTTGCTATTTATAAATGATCCGAATCTACTTATTATTTTCCTGTTTAGATAATTTTGATCTATGAGATAATTCAACTTGACAAGATGGGTGGTAGAAGAATTTGAAAGAGTTTAATTAGATTTTAAGGATAGATTAAATGGAAATCGCGCAAAAAATCGTATACGTTGTCGTAGTTGAAAAAGATCAATTAACTTAATAAACACTAGATAGAACGAAAATGTTAATCAGAAAAGGAGTAACCATAGCAGTTACATATTTAAAACCATTTCTCCAGTTCATTTCTTTTAACAGAAATGGCTTCTTTAAATCGAATGGAAGCTGAATTCATTTATTTATCACATACTTTAAATGTCAACTTTATAACCATTACATATTCGATATGGGCTATTGTAGTACGGAGAGCTATGAAATACCCAGGTCTCGGGTTGTTTGAAATGTACTTTTCAATGATAATATGTATATTTAAGCTAGTGTATATAGTTGAAGGTAACAATGACAAAAAACTTTCAACAATTTTCACCTGTTTTAGAGAGTAGTTCGTTTAGTATGAATGATCATCTTACCACATGATATATTATCATTACTGGTATATTTCTTCTGTTCAAACTAAACCATTGACAAGTAAACTATTCTTCATAACACAGTCCAGTAGAGTATCGAGATTGTCTTCGATGTTAAGGCTATTTATCTTATTGTATGTCATAACTGAAACTATTAGGAAGTCTATAGATACCAATAAAAGTAATTACGAATATAAATCATCTTGATATTTCCACAGATCGATTCTGTATTTAATAAACCCAACTCTATTGCTTTACCTTGAAAAGAAATACTACATTCCGAACTGTTATTCGAAGGCATAAAAGGTACCATTACACTCATTTGGTGTCTACACTACATCCTCAAATCAGGTTACAAACATTAACCTTAATTACTAACAAGCTGAATGATTTCATAATATTCTCACTTTAAAGAGTTAGATTTTTCAGAGTTAAGTAATTTTTTGTACTACACAGAGGTGCTTGGCATTTTTTTCTTATTTTGAAAATTTAATTTCAGAACTAACTATTCACCTAAACAGCATTTTTATAATTTTGCACAAATATAAAGATCCTAAGGCTTATTTAACAAGTAAACTGTTATATCTTATAGGTTGAACGCTATATTCAGATACTAAGCTATTCGGATAACCCCAGGCTAGCACTACTCTGCGACTTGAACACCAGTAAGAAGACACGAGTATGAGAGAAGTACTTTACTACAAGGTTCATTTATGTACAGAAAAACAGGGGTTTTATAGTAATTAAAAGACCTTGAGATTCCATAGTAGCAGTATGTTAAACAGCCAATCAGGACCTCGTTATTTTAGTAGCATAGCTTCTAACTAATCGCTGATTGGTTGGGCTCTTTATGAGCCTCTGGAGGCTCTGATAGAGTTTACTGTAAGCCGACTTAACATAAACCATGATAACAGTATATTTACACGGCATTTCATTCTCAGTATTTACATCTCTCTTTTATAGTCAGTTTGAGTAACATTGTAATTAGAGTGTATTCAATTTTTTGTCAATGTTATGAAATACATTTATATTAGGTGGAGATAAATAGAAAAAAAAACTTTATTCAACGCATCATGTTATACAAGATTCATGTTGGGATTTGTCTTGTTTAATCCCAAATTGTAAACTAGGTTTTACGGGTGATTCTTTCTATCCAGATACTTATTTTTCTGAGTAAAACAAATAAAATAAATATTACATTACAGAGATATGTTAAGAGACCAAAAAATAATTTATTATGGTCAATAATATGCCTGTTATGTGGATTATGAGGATTTGTTCACTATTAAAAATACTTTCTACACAGACCAATATCAGCTGTAAGACAGTGGAAAACAATAGAAAAGAAAATCTTATTTAGGGCTGACCATTACTCATTTATAAGGTTACAACGGCGGAAAGTAATTTAAATTCACTGTAGTAGTGAGTTTTCTACCTGAGAAGCAAAAACGCCAGATATCTGTTCAGGATATTTGCGCTGTAACCTTTTCAGATAAACTCTGTATGAAAATTATCAAAGTCGATCTTCGAACCAAATATATCTTCCGGTGTACTGGTCACGTCCATTTGTTTACACTGGAAGGATAATGTATGTTTTTAAAAAAATTTGTATCGATCTAAGTGGGTCAATGACAGTTAAGAGGCTTGGATGGCGTAACATGAGCACTGCTGATTTGAATAACCTTGATTTAATTATGTATATTTACTCCACCTACAAGTATAAACAAGATATTTCTTGTTGTAAATCAAGAGAAATTCTCCATTTGCCTGATCGGTCCCCTCCCAATCAATTCGTCGATAAACGATGAATCTCAATTGTATTAAGACAAAGTATTCAGACGAATATTTTATAATAATAATTTTTATAATAATAAATTTTATAATAATTTATATTACTTCTAGCTTCTTCTTAGAACACCAAAAGGAATGTGAAGAATTAATGTGTCCGCTAGAGCAGTCACGTAACCTCTCATATACATAAGCATTTATTTCGAAACCAACTCAAATATATCAAGAGTAAATAACTTAGACTCGAAAAAGTTAAAAAACCAAATTCTCAATACTAAAATCCACAAATATTTTCCAGTTTTAAACCAATAACTGATCTTAGCTAAACTATTATTAAGACCATGGAAGCAATAGACAGCTGTTTTAACATAATATAAGACCGTTCAGCAGTACATGAAACTACACCAGGTGTCGAGAGGTTAAGTGTTCGCGTGAGAGACTGAGTGTAGGCCTAATGAATGAACACCGCTGAGTACGTAAAATAATTACCCGGTGCGCCCAGTACTTCAGTGATAGTTTAGCTAAGTTCATTGTTCAGAACTATGAAAAATTTACAATCTTCAAAAATCGTCTGAACCGACGAAAATAATTTTATTTAAAATTAGAAGAATGATTGAACTCAGTAAGAGTGAATTGCCTATGATGACTAATTAAACTGACTAAATACTAACCACACTCTTTAATTTGCATATTTTATTAATGTGTTTCATAGTACATAGTTTTATCTTACCACTGATAAAAGAATATACAGATAATGACTACTTGTCAGAAAAGATAGAACCGTTCAAAATAATAAAAATTTTTAATGAATGTGTTCTATTTACTGACGTTAGAACATTGATCTGCAAAAAAGAACAAGAACTTCAAAATACAATTATTCATACAAATTTACACTTTATTTTTAAGTAGATATTCAACCAAAACTTATCAGAACACTCTTTAAAGTATACAGGAATCCGTTTTATATGACATCATGTTTGCTGATTACAACACTTATTAATGTTTCTTTTTTCTAATAATTTTACGTGTGCATTATATTTAAACACAGGTTACGTGACAGGAACACCAGCGTACATCAATTTCAAACTCATTTGGCCTGCAAACTCATTGATTCTAAGTAATCATGATGTTGTCGTACTGAACTCACAAACAAAAGATTACTTCAGACCGAATAAAAAAATAGAATCATTTCAGTTAACTTATCAGATAGATATTAATTCAATCAACGAGATTCCATTTAAAACATTATTTTCATCATCTTTCCAGCCGACATTAATTTTTGATCTAATTATCCAAGAGTGTGATGCCAATGTTGGACTAAGAATATACACTCCACTTTTCAGCAATCGTAAAAAAGACAAAATGCTTCAGGGTGGTGTTGTTAAAGGATCAATGGTTAGCATACATTCTAACAAGAGTACAGTGGAAGAATCATCACATTGGGTTATGTTCAGTCCTTTATTATTTATTACGATTGGAATTAGTTTGCTTTATTTTTTGGTACTGATTATATTTGTATATATAAAACATTGTATCATATCAAACAAAGGATACCCGATTTCAGTTGAATATCAAAAACAAATTAGTAATAATCATTACGGTAATGACCTACAGTACCATCAGTTACTACTTCATCCGTTTCCCATCAAGCTGAATAATCGTACTTTGTATTACACAACATCAAGAAAAGGTGGAGATTACATTCAAACATTTCCTCCAACTAGACAAACCTTATATCATCCCACCATCGTTGCGAAACACCCTTATCATAATTATGGTAATGAATCACAGAGCTCTTACCGAAAATTCTCATCCAATTCTACCTGGCTTAATCATAATACATGGAATACGAATAACTCACAAATAAAACGAATATTTTTATTTACACATCTTGCATTCCGTGTCTTTTATACCTTTCTCTTCACATTCAGTGTTGCTGTTTCCCTAATATTTAGTTTACAACCTTCAGGTAGGATCTCAACATTTGATAATATTTTACAATGGCCAAAAATAAATCGAGAGTCAATAGAGTTCAATTCACTTCACAATAGTATGCACAGGCCATCACAAATATCAGTTTTAACAACATCATCCTTGCCAATGCATGAAACAGAAATAGATCAGATTCATCTAGTTGGTCCGATTTTAAGGCTTCAGGCTGAAGTCCACTGGATTGAAGAATTTACTGAACAAGAATTAAAAAGACAACTTGATTACGTTGAGCGTATGAAACTAGCTTGTCAGCACGCTATGACAGTTGAATTGACCGATGCTCTTAGAGAAGGTAGACATTTGGTAAATACGAGGCTTGAAAAATGGCAGTTTAATAGTTCATCACAAAATACTGATACTTTAAACGACAGCACATTACGTTCTGTCAATGAATTAGCAAATATTCATTTCAACAGACAACGTACATTATTTGATCATTTGTATGAACAAATGAGTCGAAAGTTAGATTTCCGTGGTTCTGAATCATATAAAAACTATGCAAATATGCTAAATTCTGTTTTTCATTCTGGTTGGCTTCAATATGTCAAACGTATGTTGAACACTTCAGATAACTTAGAAAAAAATCCTAGACACTTTTCCAATCACAAAGTACATACAGAAACTAAACTAAACTTTCATGACAGTATGAGAAGATATTATGAATTCGGTCAACAAAGATCCGGTATCAAAGCACCATATGTGGCTTTAATGAATTATATGAATTTTTACCAAGCTGATGCTGTTCATCTGTTACCAATACAGCTACTCGAGAAGTAAGATATTTGTTTTGGGACTTGAAACAGTCTTTTATTTAAAGCAATATATATAGCGTTTTTCGCTAATCATAAGAATCACTTGTTTTAAAATCTGTTGGTACTGTATAGTGCTATGTCTATTTTATAAAACCGTATGAACAAAATGGCCTCAATATTTTCAATATAACAATTTTTATCCGAATCACTAATTACTTACTTATTTACTCCTTTTACGCCTCGTGATGTAGCATATGCCGCTCACCAGCATTCTCCACCCAACCCTGTCTCAGACAATACTTTCCAGTTCTTTCCACTTAACATTCATCCTTTTCATATCTGCTTCCGATTCTCGACTCAATGTGTTCTTCGACCTTAATTTCCTTTTTCCTCCAGGATTCTAAGTTAAGGCTTGCCTGCTTTCCCATTCTTGATTTTTCTGATGGCCATCTTGACTTCTTTGATCGTTGGTGCAGTGACATCTATAGGTATGTCCGTAGGGGCTGCTTCGATGTTCAGTGGATTCAATGGGGCTGGTCTATTCAGCAGTTCCTCGAAGTATTCTGCCCATCTCTTCCTCTGTTTCTCAATCTCCGTGATTGTTTTTCCTTCTTTGTCCTTGACTGGTCTCTCCGGTTTACCATACCTCCCTGTCAGTTTCTTCTCTGTATCATATAGCTGTCTCATATTTCCATCTCTTGAAGCTTTTTCCGCCGTCATTGCTAGCGCTTCCACGTATTTCTGCTTGTCAACACTAATGCTCCTCTTCACTTGTTTGTTTGCTTCTGTGTATTCAGTTTGTGCCTTGATATTCTCTGCTCTTGGTCAGCTGTTGTTAATTGCTGTCTTCCTGTTCTTCCTTTCTTGAATCATGTCTAAGGTTTTCATAGAGATCCATTCCCTATTATTGCGACCCAGAACCTCCTGACACGTTGAAGTTAGTGCTTCTTTGATCCCCTTCCAGTTGTCCTCCATCGTAGTTTCTTCTTTCAGTAAATCCTGTAGAGCTTGAAACTTGTTGTTGATAGTTATCTTGATTTCCTTGAGTTTGTTAGTATCTCAAAGGAAGGCTGTATTGGACCTTTGTAATGCTGTTCCCCCAGTTGTCCAGTGTTTCTTTAGCTTCCGTTTCATCTTGGCCACAACTAGGTGATGATCTGAAACTATGTCAGCTCTTCTTGTTCTCACATCTTCCATTGTCCTTCGGAATCTTCTGTTCATACAAATATGATCTATCTGGTTCTCCGTAGTGTGGTCTGGCGAGATCCTTGTAGTTTTATGTATGTGTTTATGGAGGTATATTGTGCCACCTATAACCAATTTTTTGAATGCACATAGATTTGCGAATCTCTCACCATTTTCATTTCATTCTTCCAGTCCATGTCGTCCTATTATATCTTCATATCCGGTGTTGTCCATTCTGGCTTTGACTTTAAAGTCTCCCATCATGATGGTGAAGTCCATGTACCTATAAAAATTGTTGCTCTGATTGCTAGAATGGGTTTCGGCCTCGTGAATTCTCGGCTTTCATTATGAGACGTCATAATTCTTCCTTTAGCTCTCTGGACAGTGTTTAAATCGTTCAATTTGTTTAATCTGGTTGGCGTTTTTTGCAAGATTTTTTTTTCTATGGGATGGGGTTGCCGACCTCATAACCAACCCTCCTCCTTCCTATGGGCCTGGGAACGACAGTAACTCTAGATAGGTTACAGGTGGAGTTCAGATCAGTAATAGTCGAACTTACATCTACTTGACACGGTGGTTGGTAGTAGTCGATATGAAACCTTAGACCTAGGTTCCATGTTTGTTGGCACCCGCCAATATGGTGAACCTGTGATCTTGAGGGAACTTAAACTCCCACTTATTCGACCCTATGTCATCCAGTTTTACGGTTAGAGCCGTTACCGCTGAGCTATCTAAGCCGCGACTGACCTCCTTTAGGACTGAAATGCGTTTACAATTGACAGGTTATTTAAGATTGCCACTAAGAAGGGCTTGGCACACACGACATTGATCAAAGTTCAACGATGGATTTATTTACATTTAAAATATCACTCTTATTCAAAAGTGTAGTTTTCAAATTAACATCTTCAAGTTCTGCCATTATGCAAATTACTGGAAAGATATTGTTTGTTTGAGGCTCCTTAGTTATTCATTCCTTTCACAAACTTAATTCAAACAATTCAAGGTTTTTACTGGCTTTCCTTTTAGTAACGAAAAGCACCTTCGAAATTCTTGAAATCTCCTTAAGGTTTCCATGCTAAATTTAATTTCAACGAAGAAGCTGCTAATAAATTTTAATCATCAAGTCTATTTCTGTTGATACAGTAACTATAATTTACAAAAAACTGTTACAACACCTGTAATAGGCCAATGATGCATTTTGAATGATAACATTTATCCATAACGAATACGTATCTTGTTGAACGGTTGGAACAAGTAGGCACACGGAACTGTGTACTATTTGCCAGCGTAATGTCATGTTTTACTTAGATCTTAGTCTCATCATATAAACCAGGTTTGTGAAGACGGAAGATGAGACTAAATGACAAATAACAACTTATTACCAATGGATTACAACCAACTGAGGAAATACTAATGGGTTATCAGAGAGGTCTGGAGATACTGACCTCGATTCCTAATATGTTTGTGGGTCCTCATTCTTGAAGAGTCTGTAATTTAAATAAAACATTTTTCCGTGCAAGCTGAGTAGTAAACATCTTCTCATTCTATAAGGATTATTGATGGTACTGAAAAATCTGAAGTAAGCTCAGATTACTTAAGTGTTCATGAGAGAAATTCAATTTGACTTACAAATAGATGATATTCTACACACTGTTCTGATTTATTTTCCAACAAGTTACTAAAAGCTATCAGATCATCAGTTAAGTCGAAATTTTTAGATCTGATAACTATGACTTTGGGGTGTCAACCCTTGAAATGAGAAACAGAATAGATAGCATTTATCTGTACAACATATGTCATATTGTAATTCTACCATGAAAAATATCTTCAAGTTTAAATGCTTCTGGGAAATTCATATTCCTACAAAACAACATGGAAATGAATATCTAAGCGAATAAATACCTTCAGAATAAAGTTGATTATCTCTTATTTTAAACAAAAACAAAATTTAGTTAAGTGATTGTTGTATCCTAGCGAAGACATGAGTACGGGTAACTTCCGCGACCTATTAATGAACTATTATTCTTTATATATGCCTATTGAATAACTATTGAGTGATTAGATTATGTATATCTATATTCACCTTATTATAAGCTTCATTTTGATTTATAAGTTATTGTTATACGATTTACTATCCCTAAATTATATTCAGTTTATTGACTATTGTCTCCCACGTTCACAGCCACATTTGGCTTGATTTGTACAAATATTATTTTCTAGTTTATGGTGTGATGTGGTCTGTCTGTCTGGTATATAAACCGAGTATGCTTGAAATAAATGATTCGTATGGCAGAAGCTGCAATCAGTAATCTGGACACAATTGAAAGAGCTAGGCGGACAAGGGACAAGTAAGGACGCTAGACTACTCATACTGGTCGAACATCATTCATTTGTCTTAGTGTTAAAATTTGAAAAGTCGTATTTCGACTGGTGGATAATTTACGTGATAAAAGCCAGACATAAAATCATAACGGATCGGCAACGGCCTTCTTTTATATAGTCATAACAGTAATAATACATGAAAAATCAGCCTTATATTAAGCATGTATCCCGGTAAATGAAGGGACAAAATGAAATCGTTCCTTTTTTGTGCCAGTGCCTAATCACTTCAATCAGTACAAAGAAAACGCCAAAAAGTTATACATAAAAGTTTTGAACAACTTTTAAAAAAAATAAGTTTTAGTATGTAATCTAAAACCATCTTAATTACATAATAGTTATGTTAATTAGACAAGTATTGAAGCTTCGTCAGATACTCCTTTATTGGATTAATTTTAGTTAGGGATTTGCAAATTATGTTCGAATTTAACACAAATTTTTAACTGTTGTATATATATATATATATATATCCCGATTAGCTCTTACCTTCAAATGCTACTTAATAACATAAAATTTCAGTTACTTTTTTATGGGCATTTATGCAAACTTGAAAAAACCAATGTCGCTCTAACATTTCTGAGATAATTTATTCAAAAGTTGCTGAAGAAATATAAATTCCCTAATGAGAAACGCTAAATCTCAACTTACAGCTTCTTCAAAATGATTATAAAAGATTATAGTTTCGAACTTTAACGGATGAAAGAGTCATTAATCTTAATTAATTATTGACGGCTTGCTTATTTATGGTGTATGTGGTCTTAAATCAGTGTTCACCTAAGTGGTAACACAAAACGTTTCTGTTATGTGTTATGAACAAGGTGTCTAGTAGTTTGGAAATAGTCATCATTCAGTGAACGTATTGAAAATCTATGGATTATTTAATTTATCTCTATTATTCCGCATAAAAAGATGTTTTGTTTTGGAACTCAATATGGTGATTATCACTGTCTCCTTGTCAGAGTGTGAGAATTTTCTACATATTTAGTTTGCTAAAAACTATAAAGTTAGACATTAACACCGTTGGATGCCAGCTCAGTGGTCTATCGGTTAAGGGCTTCGGCTCAAGACTGGTAGGTCCTGGGTTCGAGTCTCGCTCGCGAGAGCGGGTTAGTGGATGCGCACTGCTGAGGAGTCCCATAATAGGACGAAACGGCCGTCCAGTGTTTCCAGGTTTCCCATGGTGGTCTAGCTTCAATTAACTCATGCTTTCTGCTATAAAAACTATTTACCGACAACCTCAAAAACCATGACAATCAGGCGACTGATGAATAAAAGCATCTTTTTGGGGAACGATGATAATTAGTATAAGTGATAGTCGTTATTAGATAGAGAACCTAATTTAAATACGTATTCGACTGAAAAGAAACAAATTATAAGTAATAAGACTAAAATGCCCGTATGATCTATTATTACTAACACGACCATGAAACTATTTTAGTTTCGAATTCCATTCAAATCTATTTGGATTGTTAGAAAGTACTACTTGTCTATACTTGGCGTCTGAACAGTAAAAGGATTATTCACAATATATTTGTAATGCTAAAACAACAAACACTCGGATTTAACTAGATAAACCAAATAACCCTGGGCTATAATAGATTATTTTGAAAGGTTACTCTATTCTCCAATAATAGTGAGATTCTTTGAGGCTAATAAATGAATCAGAGAGTAATTTCATTTCTGATAGCATTTTATTTTTTCTGCAATGAATCGCTCAAAGCCAAATGATTTTGTTTGTATTCAGGACAAATAAGTCTATGAAATAACCACTGATACACCAATGTGATTGAGAAAGATGAAATGTAGATATGTGTTTAATGAATGGAATTTAACTAATTTCTGTATAATTATTATTCGTTCTCTCTGTACAACTACTGTTTTATCAAATAATAATCATAAGCATTTACAGATGAATAAGACTTCTAATATAATTTTATCTAATTTTATAAATGAGGAGTGAAATTGAATCTTGGTACGCCATGATAAAATGTAATCCAATCAACCAAAATATGGTTTAATTTTTTGAACAACTGACACTAGATAAAAATGGCAACGGTCACTTTTAAATGGTTGAAAGAAAACAGGAGGATGTACTAAATCAATATTTTAGACTAGTAAATACTCATTAAATAAGGTGTATCTGAGATTGTGGACGTAATAGATTATCAGCGATGGATCTATACCTAAGACATCGAGCATCAAAGTCGGTGATATTACCACTCTTCTGAATGTAAGACTGAGATGGTTATTTTATTTAGATACAAAACGTAAAATTAACTTCTGAAAAGTCTATATTCTAACAATGGATAGTATGGGTAATCTTTTCAGTGTTAAAATACTAATTATACTGAACTAATATTTCAGAAAATTTAATTGAGATTATCCAAATTATCTTTTATTTTGTATTTATTTCAGTCTTAAGAAAGTATTCAGTTCTCCGAATCATTATCGTTCACTGTTTCATTTATCCCCAGAAGCATCTAGCCATCCCATGAATTCTGAGTCCAATTTTAAAGCAAATCATCAAGTGAATAGTTTCAAAACTCTACAAAATCAAAAAACACAACAAGAACGTGTATTCTTAACAACAAATGATTTAGAAGAATATACAGATGGCACAATTAGTTCAGTGAGTGATAAATCTACACAATACTTTTTCAATGAACAAAATACTTTATTCTCAGAAAATTTTATTCAATATATTAAAGACAATAGTCAACAAAATGTTCAAAATCATTCGAACTATCCAAGCAGACATCCAATGTTACCAGTGATGACTTTAACACATATTCGTTTAAGTTTACTAATTTTAGATTGTTTCATTATTGCTTATAGATTTTTTCATACATATGAAATTTTGAAAGCTTTTTGGACAGGCCAAACCTTATTTGTCGATGCATCAAGCTGGTTAGAGAGACAAACACACACCACTGTAGATAATGAAAGAGACAATGGAAACTTTCATGAAGCAAGCAAAACAACAGTTGAACCGTTTGACAGTCATTCATGTAGAAGATTTTCAGAAAAAGGAAAATATCTGGAATCAAATTTGTCTGATTTCAATGAGACACCGAATAACCGCTTTTCAAGAATAGCATTATTTCAATGTCTTCCACAACATCAAAATCTATTTGAATGTCGACATGAAAAGCAGGTAATTGATTCGAGATTTCTTTTTAAATTAATCGTTTCGATGCATTACATGCATTCAAATCAAAAAATAATAAGCTCATGCTCATTAAGAGTTGACCATAAAATTACACTCTTCCTTGAACCTGATGATCATCTTTCGTCAGACATCATATCCACTTTTAAAATTAGAACATTTTCATGCAAGCCACATTATTTATTACATAATAACGAAATGTTGACTTGAAAAGAGTTTTAGTTTGTTTCTACTCTCTTAGAAATTCAAACGGAAGTAAACTACAAAACTTAGGTTTACCAGATTTTGTATATGTTTACAGTGTATCAGTATTGTTATTTTCATCCTTAGTTTAGATTCGGATCTTAATTAAGGGTGAAAGTCAAATGGTGAGACAAGTAATAGAGAAGGGTGATTTAAGTTAACTATCTATGCACAGGTAACTAATAACGTATTACATTTCAAAATACAAGTAAGAAACTAATTAACTTGAAATTATATTGATCTATCAGAAAGTAAACAGGAAAATATGTTCGACAATTAGACAATTGGACTTTATATATAAAACACACCAAGTATACAGTCAATTTTTATCATAAAAAATGAAAGAAAGCAACAATAAATTTATTATAAATTTATAAATAAACCCGAGAATCTTGTTTATTTATTTATTTATATTGGTACAAAGAAGCACCAGATATATATGCGCCACACAAATCTCATTTGATTTGTGTGAGGGCTGTGATACTGTCCAGGTGCTCAAACTGAAGCAGGTGGTTTTCATAGGGGGCCACACACCAAGCCTTTGACCTAAAGATCTGATCCACAAAGCAGTGGAGCATAGTAAGGAAATACAGTGCCATGGTAGCAGGTGACCAACGACTGATTCATACGCCATTTGTTCCCTCAGGATACTGGAGCCCATGTGCACCATTAGTTTGAAATTAGGATTTTCCAACTCCGCCAGGTGAAACTTCCGAGCCCACCAGCTCGGTTAGAGCGCCGTACATTTGCTTTTTGTCCTCTCAATTTTGAATACAACACCCACCACAACGAGAAGGTAGTGAGTAGGACTTCCCTGGCAGAGGCTATATACGCGTGGCCATGTGGGAGCATTTCGAGAGGGAGAACGGATTCTCCACACTCTCAGCCGTACCAGGGCATTTGGGGGTGAAAATCTTGTCAGATGAAAAAAAATACTATAAGTAAACACATTTCAGTCATTAAAATAAAAATAAAAACGTATGATAACTTCCATAAAATCTCAGTTTCATTGAGTTGATAACAGTTACTTTTTCTGGTTAGTGTCTTTTTTTACCGAGTTAGTTTTCTACGGGATGGGGTAGTTAACCCATGTCCAATATCCATTCGTTTTTTTTAAATAAATGCTAACCACATTTATCTTCTTAATGTTATTATGTTTCTATACATCAATATGTAAATCAAAAACAAAAACCTTGTTCAGCACTCTTTTTTTTCTGATCAAAAAAGGGAAAATATAATTTTGTAACCAAAATTTTTCCAAACGTATGTCTGATGAAAAAAAAACCATTTTAAAAAAATAGTTTATTTTATTGTCTGATTTAAAAACAAAAAAAATTATTTTTTTTTTAGATTTTGAAATCCACAGAATTTTCAATCGTTTAACTGAAAATATCTATTCTGTTAATAATAAATCATTATGAAATAGGTGACAGATTAGAATGTTTGTAATCAGTAGGGATTTATAATAGTATTGTTTAATGTAAGTTTTAAATAGGTGAAGAAGGGGGTCTAACCTCGATTTCATTCATGATTTCAACTATACGGAATAAATTATTGTTAATTATAACAAAGCACATAGTATATATTACTGATAAATAAAACTCAAAGTAAAAGAAATAAAAATGTATAAAATAATGCATTCAATTAGATGAGATTTATATTATGAAAGTATGAATGTGAGGGATAGAATGAAATACAATTCTATTTTTTACCTTTATTACCATGTTTAACATGAAAGGGAAAACGATATTATTAATGTTATTTTAAAAGTGAATAGTGAATTAGTATCCTCTCATATGTAAGCTCAATTGTTTTTTTATTACAGTAGGAGTTTATTCTTTACTAGTTTATAAAAGTATAAATTAACTTACTAAGCTCGTTTTAAACAAATGTTTTAATAACTAATATTTAAGCGAAGAAGATACTTTTCGATAAATTCACTTCAAGTTCTACAAATATATATCGAAATTAAGAATCGAAAAAATGAACAGGTTTAGGGCGAAGTGCAACGTTTAAAGCATGTAAATTTAGGATTGTCAAATAAAAAAAACCCAGGACCTACCAGTCTCGCGCCGAAGCACTTAACCGATAGACCACTGAGCTGGCATCCAACGGTGTTAATGTCTAACTTCAACCAATCCACGAAGTTGAGCAACCATTCACCAATTGTCTTCAGTGCGTTCCTACCTCATGACAGACGTGGTTTGAACTCCACTAGTCACTGCTTCTCACTAGAGTGCGGGCTCGTGGATGCGCACTGCTGAGGAGTCTCATAGTAGGACGAAACGGCCGTCCAGTGTTTCCAGGTTTTCCATGGTAGTTTAGCTTCCATTGACTCACGCTTCCAACTATGAAAAATTGTTAATGCTAATCAATAGTAATCTAGCTATTGGATGAACCAATTTGACTATTGTACTTACGACCTTTCGTAGTCAAATATAATTGTCTCTTTAATTTTATACCAAATTATTATTACTATTGGTTAAACATGATTGTTATTCTCCCCTATACATGATTCATTCACTTCGCATTGATCCCTCTTTATTACGTCTTACTAATTTTTCACACAATTTAGTCTTCCATTAAACATTTGATCGAATTGTAATTGCACTATCATATCTCTCACCCTGTCTGACCCATATTTATTCTGATCATGGATCCTAAATTTTCACTTAACATATAATCTGATTCAAGTCATATCAACATTAACAATTTTATTCTATTTTGTATGACAATCCTAAATTTACATGCTTCAACTTGCACTTCGCCCTTATTCTATCCATTTATTGGATTATTAATTTGGATATATAATTGTAGAAGCTGAAGAGAATTTATCGAAAAGAATATTCTTCGTTCAGATATTTATCTTTTAATATGATGGAGATCTTTAAACGATTAAAATGTTTTGAATTTAAAAAAAAATCAAAAAAAGTTCAGTTACTCAATAAATTCAAAGTAATAAAGTAACCACAATCTAAATGAAAATTTTTGTTTGACTAAATTGTGATTTAAACAATGCAACTTATCAATTTGTCTATGTAGAGAAGAGAAATGTACTTTTTATAATGATCAAAGTACGAAGGGTTTAAAAAAAACATTCTAATAATAAATGTAACTAATAATGTACGATTTTAGGACTTCATACCTTCAGGATTGTGATTAAATAAGTACTAAGCAACAGAAATGAAGTTTTTCAGTTCAAGAATACTATAGTTACACCCGAAAAGTTTAAAAAACGTATTTTCATTTTCTCTACTTTTATTCTAATAAGCTTCACTAAGCAAAATAATGTTGTGCATTTAGAGAAAGTTTATTTTGAACTATCTAACATAGTAAAGATCGTTGCAATACAATTAATAAGCATAAGTGAATACTCAGAAGGGGTTTTGTGTAGATTTCAATATTTTCATAGTTGAAATCATGAGTCGATTGAAGCTAGACCATCATGGAAAACCTGGAAGCACTGGATGGCCATTTCGTTTTATTGTGGAATTCCTAAGCCGTTCAGTGCTTTCAGGTTTTCCATGGTTTTCTAGCTTTAATTGACTCATGATTTCAACTATGAAAATAAGTGAATACCATACCAAATGAAATATGTTCACTTTAGTTATTTTGAGTTATGATACAGTTCGATTACATACTTTGAAATCATGATAAATTCAACGAAATAATCAAACATTTCACTGGAGAAGAATCATCGTTAATATACAAAGGAAAATTTATATTGGTAAAATGGAAGTTATTTTGAAATTATTTCTAATTCGTATTCATCAGTGATAGGTTCATTAAATTAGTCCAATTAACCCAATGAATTATAATCCTTATTTAAGATTCATAGAGCTTTATTTAATCTTCATTACTTCTCATCAAGTCTTAGTTTTCTTATGTACTGTCTAGTTGATCATAATTTTAATAAACAAACAATACTAAGTGAATTCAAACTTCACCCCATTGCACAAGCAAGTGGCTAACAGGACTCAGTAGAACGAAACGCGCGTCTTGGATTCCACTGCTATCAACTGCTACCAACTGCTATCTATCTTCACTTATAATGCTTGTGAATTAAGGCTATATCGAGGCAATACGCACAGTATGTACACATGCGAATAAGAGACTGACCAGTTGCAATTCTAAGCATCAATGAGAAGATTCAAACAAACAATACTAAGTGGATTCTGATTATTTATTGTTATCCATTATTTGTTACAATATATTTTGTCCATTGGATTTAACCCAGTTAAGATATACAATTCACATACTGTCAAAATGTCTGAGAATAAGAGCATTTCAAATTATGATTCTATTTATCTTTATGTTTCTTTCTATAATAACTGTGTTTTTTAGTTTAATCTTAAATGACATTACTCATGAAACTAAAAAACTTAAAGAAATAATGAAAATTTACTTCACTTCAATTTTTCAATCTTCTTTTCTTCATAATAAAACTTGTGACTGGTTGAATTTGGTTAAAGAACAAAAAAATATCATCAATTTTGACAAGTAGACATAATCATTAATTAGTCTACATATATGGCTCACACTGATTTGTTGACATAGTAAAGATAGAAATTTAAGTTATGCTTTATTAGAAATGAAATATAGTTAAATATCTTGATCCATTTATAAGTTCTTGTGAATATGTCTATTCTGAGATGATATAGAATAAGTTAACAAAATCTTGTTGTAAATAGACACTAAGTCAGTGTGAAGTAAAATTATTTGATTACTAATTTTAAATGTATTCGTTGGCCTGTTGTTGACATTAAGGACAGGAATTGATCAGTTTTTATTGTGATATGTGAGTTGAGAGCGGGTTTCCTGAAAACTGCTTGTCTAGTCACATCATTTTAGTGAAATTCGATTATGACCAGTAGAGAAATCTAGAAAGCACGCTTCTTCGCATTTTTTTAGCTTCTAGTTCAATGTTGTGACGCAACTAATTCAGTACTGAAATAAATGCTTTATTACTTTGACTTAACAAGTCTTTCCTTATCATGCCTTACAATTATATAAACATTTCATGTATCAAGAAAACTTGCTTGGGACCACCACAATCCGTTGTACTTATATATGATTACAATAGATAAAAGAATTTAAATTAAGAACGAATGATAATATTTGTAACATGAAAACTAAGAAATCTAGTTATTTCGAAATCTCAACATAATATCAACATTGTAAGCAGCGAAGTGTTCAACAATCAAGGGTAGGCTAACCATGTTAAAAATTAAAGTTTGAACAAAGTTTTCATTTGTATGTTAGAGTAACAATTCAAGAATATATGAGATACATTTGTCACATAAAATAATTAAAATAAAGATGGTTACTAATGTAAAGGTTAGTTTGAGTAGAAATCAATGGATTGTAATCATAACTAATACAATATGGTTATGATATATATTTATCACACTATTTGTTCTTGTTACTAAGACACTTGAAGATTAACCACTAGCTCCTAATGAGGTTAGATCTAAGCTTTACAATTGTTATAGATCCCATGAATTTTATTAAAACAAAGCCACATAGTTAATTTATTAATTTCAACGTATTCATTGCATCCTCATGAGAAACTGATTATGATGATTACAAAATAAAACGCCATGACTCTTAATAACCATGTTTCAGAAATAACAGTCAGTACAACTTGAAAAGTACACTGATGAACAGCATTTAGAATCCTTAATATCATCATATTCTATTTTTGTGATGAATTCTACTAAAAAGAATTTGATCATAAATTTCGGAAGTTACCCAGTTTTAAAATGAAAAAAAGAGATAAAGTGTGAAGTATCTATTCTTTAGTGAAGTGAGTAACAAATCCAGAGTGATCATATAGTAAATTGAATGAAATAAGTACACATTTATACAAAAACTGCATATTGTTATGTAATACAATCTAAATTACAAATATACCTGGAAATAATTGTAGTCTGAAGTGTTTTTGGACTGCTTTTTAAAAAAAAGAACGAAACTGATATGTCTTGTGGGTTGAACGCTTATTCAGATCCTAAGCTATTCGGACAACCCCAGGCTAGCACTACTCAGCAACTTGAAGACCAGAGAGAAGACACGAGTAGCGAGAAGATGCTTTATTGCAAGGTTCATCTTTGTACAGAAAATCGTAGGTATTTATAGATGTTTGCTTAAGTTAAATCAACATCCTAATTCAGCCAATCCACTTAACGACATAAATTGCTACTGACCAATGATAGCATGCCACGTTGGAACTCCAGAATGTTCTGTCGTGCTCTGATTGGTTGGAGCTCTTTCTGAGCCTCTGGAGGCTCTGTTGGAGTTCTCTGGAAACCGACTTAACAGAAACTTACATCTAAAATTCACTTATCGTCATAAATGTATCAGTTTGATGTAAAACATTTCCATATACTTCTATAATTAACAAAGGGAATTTCTCTTAAACTATTGTAATATAGCAACTTTCTTACAATCAATTTCGAATATGGTTGACTTTTATTAAGCCCTACTATTAACTTATTTAACAGATAATACTATTCGAACAGTAAAAATTCGCATATTTCTTTGTATTTTTATGATCACATGTGACAGATAACACAAATATCTCTCAAGCTTAAATGTTAATATCTTAAGTGTCGCACGATGAATCATTCTCTTCCCTATGTAAATATATACTCGAATCCTATTATTAGCCTTTGCCTTGCCTTGCTGTGCCTTTATTCGATTTGACTGTGAATTCGCCTCTATATTTGCTCGCTCGCACACATATTCGTCACTCTCCCCCAAATCCACTCGATGTACTTGTACCTTTGTGATCGGTGCTATCCGTTAATAAACTGTAGTCGCCGCTTCTTATTGCCTTCTGATTTCATACACCGTGGGATTTATATAATAACGGTTATCAAGGTGATTGATTAACGAAGATAATCCACTACACTAACAAGGTTTGCTTGTGTTCGTACTACTAGTTATCCCATTTTGATATCTCAGTTCAATGATTAACTTGTATAATACGCTTCAAGATGACATTGAATTTGTTGGGTTTTTTGTTGCATAGTTTAATATTGTTGAGCAATGAAAAAAAGTTGGCAATGTATTGTAAGAAAGGCTATAAAAAGCCTTAATAAATGTTTTCTAATTTGAGATGTAAAATTCACTAGACCATCAGAGCAATATGTATCAGTTAATGTTAAAAAAATGTTTATTTATCTGTTATTTCTGAGTAATATATTTTATAATGGAAAACATGTTCTACTTCAACCAGTTAATTTATCATAGATGTTTCGTGTTCAATTCTTAGTTGAAACTCTTTTACAATGCTCACTCTTCAACTTTAAATGAACATATATGATACCTTATTTGATGAAATTTTATTGCCTCATAAATTTACCGAGATAATTCAAACGTTAATAGAAAGTAAATAAAGCACTGGGTTAAACAACTCTAATTTGAACAAAAGTTAACTGTGTAAATATTACGTATATTTTAAAAATGTTTAATGCCAAAACATTTTATACTGATCCTGTTGAATATTTCGTTATTTTTGTTTAAAGGCATTGTATCAACCATCGATGTATTCATCTGGAATCCCAAGAAATTCGCAATCTTCTGAAACAACATCCTCATCGATACTTTCTAATCAAGTCACTGATTCACAAAGTAAAAATAAATCAAAACAGTACTTTCACTTAAATTCTTTATGTGACCACTCAACACAAAATCCAAGTGATGCACTTCCTGACAGATCATTGATTCCTATTGGACCACCATTATGCCTACCACCATCATCATCTTTTAGTATTGAACAAAATACTGGTTGCATATTAGGCATACGAAGTGCATGCTGTAGAAAGTCACATTACATCAGTTCAGTAATTGGATTCACTGTGATTGTTTTATTGTTCGGTTTAGTACTGGTCCAAATGTACAAACCACATGTAGCAACACCAAATAAAATATCGCCACCAACATCAACGTATTCCAAACAAAGCAGTTCACAAGTTTCAGCGAACGAAATTCCATATTTATCAACTCCAATAGGTTTTTTTCTTCCTTATTATGAATTATTGATCCGTGACCATAGTAATCGACTAAATGAAGACTGGCTTGAATGGACAAAACGTAATGAGCTGGCTATGCGCGGACGCGTACTCAACTATCTGTCAAGATTTAAACATGAATTGGTTAGTTCAAATAATTCTTTGAATAATTTATTATTTTTCGATATAAAGTGTTTGAAATCACGTAAGGTGGGAGGATACAACTAACAATAAAGTAATATTACTTTTTGTGTAAACAAAGCTGAGAACATATTATTTAATAGTATCGAAGACTCTAACGAAAATTTCTGTTACAAAAAGACTAGATAATAATAATATTATTTTGTTCTTAAGTTGGTACATCACAGGTAATATAGTTTTTCGTTCTAATAGGAGTTCATAGAAATAATTGTTGAAACTTCAGCTTTCGCTCTATTCAGAAGTATTTATAAAGTTTTAAATTTCCTCACCCGAAACGTAATATATTAGTGTTCACTGGTAAACTGAAGGTATGTTGGTTACTTCAGGTATTTTATTTTAAACTGTTAAGCCACGCCTTCAAATCTGCTTATTCTTACATCGACAGGCGAAACCATAAAATACTATGGATCGTTATATAAAAGCTTTTTTCGCAAAATCGAGTGAACAAATTTGCACAGAGTCACCAGGTTATATAAACAGTCATTTTGGTGAGCATCAACATGTTATGAAATACGGTTTTCTAAAAAATATAAGTAAAGATAATGAGGATTTTTCTATAAAATGTTTGTTTCATTGCTCAAAGTTTAATTAGTAAATCCCTGTAGAAATCTCACTTTAGGCAGATTTACTATTGCTTTAATTTTAACTTGGCTGATGGTTTCATAAAGATTTATTTTTTGAAAGCAATTACTAAATGGAAATGACATACAGCGAAGATCATCTAAGAAAACATTACATATCACTAGATATTCACTTAGTATTGTTTGTTTGGATCTTCCCATCGATGTGTTTAGGACTGCAACTGGTCAGTCTCCAGACAGTTTAAGGAAGTTAGTTGCAAACCCTAGACCCATATTTAGAGCTAGTTATTCTTGTCAATATGATATACCAGCAAATTGCTAGAAATCCGAAATCTTGATTAATGTCTTAAAACTATTATGTTCACTACAGGGTCTTCATATTCCAACTTGAGTTTGATGTGGAATAATGGATGGATATTTCTAGGAGTTTTACACTAGGAGAAAATATTTCTTAAGTGGTCTTTAATTTTAAGTGGTTTTCCAGATAATGACAGTTAGCGGTGAAGATCATTCAGGTTATTTAGCGTAAAATCCGTGTATTAACATGACATTAGATGAAGGATACTGTTACTGCAAGAATACAGTTAGCTTTTAATACACGCTATCAAGTTGTTTACTTTTTATTCTAACACAAAAGATATTGACATCTAAATGAAACAAACCGTTTTTCCTTATGATAGAGACTTTTCAAAACTCACTCTAGACACAAATCTTAAAATCTCTTGCATTCATCTCTGAATGCCTTATTGCTTTACATTCTCCACGAAATAGGATACTCTTTAAACATTTAAATTTCACTAATTAAATAACGAAAAATGCCTACCTTACTACTTATTTCAGGAATGTTATCTTTCTATAAATATCAAACTTCGTTTTGTATTCTTTTGGACATCCTCCCCTAATATATTTCATCATGACAACATATTTTCAGGACACTATCTGTAACAAAATATTTAATATTGATATTCTGTAAAAATTAGTTCAAACAATTGTCATTGATTTTGTTACTAATGCTGTGACCTCTTGTCTTGTTATGGATGATATTGAACTACTAACATGAAAGATAATATTATTGTTATTGACAATAATTCTGTAACCTGACTGTTCTTACTTACTCATTATTCATTCTGATTTCCTTAAAAACAACAAAAACCCGTGAATCTCACAGTTCTTCAGTTTTCATTAATTTACTTTTGATATATTTACATATGTATTCCAATTGTTACTTTAACAATTTACATTCTGGGAATTTATTACTGACGATGAATCATACAAGAACAAACAACTAAAACAAAAGCCTGTCATGATTTTATCAGTTCTTGAAGGTTAACCATTCTAATTTGTCACAAAAGAGAAATTATCTATATATTGTTATTGAATGACTGATTTATTTAATATACAATCTGGCTAAATAAATAGAAAGTAAATTATGGTGAGAAACATAAAAACGAAAGTGAAAAATAAACGAAGTTCAAATCTATGTGTACACTTACAGCTTATTGACTGATGAAAGCTTTTGCAATCCAATGATCATTTTGGTATAATCTAACCCAAGGCTTTTCTGTATTGATTCAACAACATTACTACGAAAAGTTTCATCAGTTTATTGGTTACTAAAATGTAACTTAACAAATATGGTTAGTTCGTAAGAAAACTCTTTTCTTCATATATCACCTAGGAAGTAAATATAGTCTTTAAACACCTAAAAACATGAGTATGTCTATACAAGATACGTTACTCTTAATTACATTATAGATGAATTGAAGTATATGTGGAAATAAAGAGAACCCGTTAAGTAACTGCAGAGGTACTGTTTATTATTCATCAATGTATTCTATATACGAAGCATATCAGAGACATGTAAATATATCTATATATACAGCTTAAAATTGACTGACTTAAAAAACCATTTATAACATAGAATTCACTAAAAGGATGTATACATTGAATGTCGAGCTTATTTCCACTTTCAGAGGTGCATTAGTATGGCATTGTAGACTACATACCTATTGGTGGTTGATCTGAGAACATTGATTCTGTAAGCATCTTATTCACTCCGAGTAAACGAGACGATAGAAGGTAATGTATATCTATTACTTAAAATCAGTGTAAAGCAACAAACTTCCTCAAGTATTCCTGTAAAATATACTTATCTTCATTATTATCACATATGGTTACAGTTTACTGAACACTTTTGTAATAAATTAGAAGCAAATGATATCAGTAAAAGTTTTTTTTAACAAACAAGCTGAGTACTCTTGAATTTTTCAGACATTCAGTCAGCTGTAACTAATTCTCATAAATATTTGTAGTACAACTAATTAAATTTCCAACATGTCTGTTATTTTCATCCACATATATATTCTACTGATACTTTTTTAAAGGGACATTTAGTTGAAATACTTCGAGATTTTCAAAACGTCCGTTATGTTATATGATTCAAAAAACCCCAATAATTTAGGATTCATCCATAAGTACACTTGTATTTCATATTATAAGCAATAATTAACTACATTCATCTGTGTATCATTACTTTATTATGTTTCTCTGAGTTGTTAAGTTTCGAAGACCAGGCATTGGTGTTCTGATACTGAATGGACATTGCAATCAATATATGTCATAGATTACATTGACGGTTTTTAGTCAAATGAATTTGATTATAATATTCAATATGAATATGCAGTTCTATGTGAAAAACGTTTTTAGAGTTTTAAAATATTAAAATATCTTACCTACTAACGCCTGTTACCCTTCGCGGAGGAGCATAGGCCGCACATCAGCATACTCCATCCAACCCTGTCCTGGACAATACTTTCTAGTTAACATTCATCTTTTACATATCTGCTTCTATTTCCGGGCGTAATGTGTTCTTTGGCCTTCTTCTCTTCCGCTTCCCTTCCGGATTCCAAGTTAAAGCTTGCCTCACGATGCAGTTTGGTGATTTCCTCAATGTATGTCCTATCCACTTCCAACGTCTTTTCCTAATTTCCTCTTCAGCTGGAAGCTGGTTTATCCTCTCCCATAGTAGGCTGTTGCTGATGGTACCCGAGCAATGAGTATTGTGTAGACAATTGTTTATAAATACTTGTACCTTCCTGATGATGGTTGTAATTAAAATATCTAGTATGCAATTTACATGTGAATTAGGCAGTAAGTAGCATTAAATAACTCTAATTATTATTAACAAAATCAGTATAAGTAATATAAAGTGTAAGGAACAATATTATCAATAATGTTTGAAATTATAGGGATTAAGAGATGATAAAATTGGATGAATGTTAAATATTTTAAGTGTTTAGAAAAAAGATTATGAAATCAAATATGTTTGATTTACAATAATTTAAAGAAACAGGGATTGCAACGAATTTCGAAAACATTCATAAGTAAAGCTTTCTAAAAAACAAGCAACATTCTTTAAAAAGATTTAATTAGAATCAAAGATGAGATCTATTTTGCATGCACATAAAATTGTGTCTACAGACTAGAATGTGTCTATTGTGATGTAGTCTATGATAAATAGTCATTTAGAGAAATCTTCACTGAGCTGCACAAAAGACTTAATAGTTCTGTAGAGCTGAAAAATTTACAAATTAAACCGGCAATAGCATCCCGTGCCATTTCACAATAATCATCAATTCGGTATTAAAAATATCAAAACAATTCAAAAATGTTTTCCTAGCTAATAAGGAGAAATGAGTTGCCGAAGCATCTTATATGATATTAAATCCCCCTGCCTCTCATCATGAAAGAAGGTTTGACCATTCATCCAATGTAGAGTAGTTTTCAAACAAAAATATCTAATCCTAGATTGATAGTGTTTAGGAGTGGAATTTAGGACGCTCAGTTCGTCCTATTTGGGACTCGTTAACTGGAGATTGATAGATTTCAGTCCTAAAGATCAATGGAAAAATACAAACAGACAACGCATATGAGAATCACATTGAATTATGTCAATTTTACACACTACACAAAAGTTTTAACTCCACTACTTCGTATTACAAATTATACATTTTCCTTACTCACTATCATACACAAATAAATACGTTGATGTAAAAATTCAGTTTTTTGTTTGTTTGAATATTCCCACTGATGTCGAGGATTCAAATTGATCAGTCTCTGGTTGGCATATGTGTATCCTGTGAGGATTGCCTCGATATTGCCTTCACTCACAAGAATTATAAGCAAAGATGAATGATAGCTAGCAGTAGAATCCTGTACGTGCGATTCGTCGTATTTGGGACTCGTCAGCCAGATGTATCTGCATCCCAGAGTTAGTGTTCACTTCAGGACTCAAACTCAGTACCTTTCCTTTCAAACGCCACAGGATGCACATGTGGCAATAAGAGACTGATGAATTTGAAT